CGCTGCAAACGCGAGCATTTTTGACGATCGTTTCTGTCCAGTCTGCTCGTTTTATCGCGTTTAACCACAGCTGTCGTCTTTTTTTTTGTCTGGCAGTGGCAGCAGATATGCGATCAGTTCTCAGCAGAGCTCCTGAGAAAGGAGCTGTAAAAATATATTGAGATGGTTTTTGGTACTTATACTGCAAATATATATTCTTAAGGACATCAAAACCTAAAATAAAACTCCAGAAAGGTGTAAAATATGGGACCTTTAAATTTTACTGTTAGCTGGCTTGCAAGCACTGTTATTTCCTTCAGGAAATGCAAATCCAGTTTTTTTAATTGTCTTCCACCTCATTCTCCACCTCAACATATGCAAATTCCTCCCTGACGGCTCTACTCCAATGCTTACTTTGAAACCAGCTTCGTTCCATATGTTTTCTCCTGCTAAACCGCCTAGCTTCTCATCTTCTCATTCATGTTTTGTGTTTATTAATGTTCCTTAAGATGCATGTGCACACAATCCTATTGTCTTCCAAGTGCCCTTGTCATCTGAAGCACTAGCGCTGCTCTCCAGAGGATCTATTCAGCTGCTGTGCCTTGTTTTTCGTTAGAATTTAAGAGGCCGCGAACAGATGAAGAAACACACGCTGAAAGAGAGAGCAAGAAAGAGAGCAAAAAAAAAAAAGACACATGACCCCTTAAAAGAGGCCCGGCTCTACACGGCATCGCTTGTCATTCATGATGTTGTGGGATGTGAGGTCGGGTCAAACGGGAGCCCTTGATCCTCCCACCTGACAGAACTACTAAGAGACTTCACTGTACTGCAAGACATCAGCATCACGCAACACTGCACAAACCTCACACAGCAGCTCCAGCACACTGACCTGCAGAAGATATCAGATGCATTTTCTACCATTTCCATTTCACGCACCTCAAAGTGCACAGTCATTGAATCTATGACACTTTTTTTGCTGGCTCTATCTTTCTCACACATCTTGCTCTTCCTCTTTCTGACTGGCATTGTTTGCTGTCTCCAGTATCCAGCAAGAATTGAAGGGATAAAGACTGTGTTTTCTAGAACAGACTAGAAGAGAAAGACAACTGCAAGTAGAAACGAGAGAGACGCTCTGGTCTCTTTAATGTCACTTCCTCAGCGACGGGTGGCTAGTTCTCTGAAAAGTGTGCGTGAGGCATGGAGAAGCATTAATTTTTCATCGTCTCTGAAATGGACTCCTAATGAAATGTTACTCGACAGCCTGTTCAAAGGCGACCTCCCTCTCTCCAGCTCTCCCGCTGTTTCTGAAGCATTTGTGTTGAAGGTGAAGTGTGTAATTTTTTTGATGTTTAAATACTTTCTCTTATCCCAGCTTAATATGCAGAGACATTTGTAGTTTTATTTCCCTCGAAAAATGTAAACACTGGGGCTCTGTGGTGAAAACATTGTTTTGTTTGTTTGAAAATCTTGACCAGCCCCACACTGCAACATCAGCTCAACCAATGGTGTGTGTTTGGGGGCGGAGCAATCGGTATGGCTTACCGATAGAAGAACATTATTACACCCTTCACCTTTAAATTAATACTCTTTAAAAAAAATTTTGTTTACTCACTCTGGTGGTTCCAGATCCATATGCTGTTCTGCGAAACACAAAAGGTGAATTTGAAGAATCCTCACACAGCTCTTTTCTTTACAATGAGGGTTCATAGTGAACGGGGACGATTCACCCAAAAACAAAAATTCTGTCATCATTTCCTCACTCTCATGTCATTCCAAAAATGTATGACTTACTTTCTTCCGTGAAACACAAATAAGGTATTTTGTGGATACAGTGGAAGTCAATAGTAAACAAAACCGTTTGTTTAACAAACAAAAAAATACAGGTTTAGAACGATATGAGGGTGAGTAGATTATTTAATGACTAAAGATCAATTAACATCAGCAATAATTAATAAACTCTTGCTGTTTTTTTCATTCATGTTAGCTAATGCATTATCTAATAACAAACAAGACCTTATTGCAAGGGTGGGCAACTTTGGTCCTGGAAAGCCACAGTCCTGCAGAGTTTTGCTACTGTATATATCACTATTAAGGTTTATTAATTTCAGTTTTAGTTTTAATTTATTCCCAGTTAATAATTTTAGTATTAATTTTAGAGCAACATATCTATTTTTAATTTAGTTCAGGTTTTTCATCTAATATTATATTTTTTCAGCTTTAATTAAATTAACAAACATGTTTTCAATAGTTTGATAATGAGCTAAATTAATACATAATAACCCTGATTGTAAAGTTTTATCTGTTTCAGATGTTAGAGAATAACAGCCTTGGTCATGAGCTATTGCAGTTTTGTCCCACAGAAATAAAGTCATACAGGTTTGGAACTAAGTGAGGGTGAAAAAAAAACGATTACAGAATTTTTCATTTTTGGCTGAACTATCCTTTTAAGATTTGGTCGCTTGTCTTTTTTTTCAGGCACTCATGAAAACTTTACTTATTGGTGTTGTTGATTTTTGCCCTGCAAGCAAACATACAGCACTTTCCTTCCTCACTCTTTCTGGGCATTGTTCTCGTCTGGTCAAGTCAAGTCAAGTCAAGTTTATTTGTACAGCGCTTTTCACGATACAAATCATTGCAAAGCAACTTTACAGCAAATTAAGTTTCTACAATATTTAGTGGTAGCTTATCAGTGGTGACTGTCAATTAATGTACATATGGCAGAAATGTACGGAAAAATCAATTTAAGACGTAATAAAAAAGACGATGAACACTATTAACAGCAATTATAAAATAATTAAATGTGCAAAATAGCAAAATGTGGTAGTTCTGAGTACTTTTACTTTTACTGGAGTAATATTTTATTATACGTATCTGTACTTTTACTCAAGCACTTGATTTGTGTACTTCGTCCACCACTGATAACTGCTTTGGTTGCGAGTGGTCTAATGTTTAGGAGCCCAAACTTTAAAAATCGTTTTTGTTTATTTATTTTACATTTTTCTGGTTTAATCACGATAAGATTTTTTTCTAGATCCTGCATTAAATTTATATTTTGACCTCACTATTCGGGGAACAGACACAGTCTTTATAGATTGGACAGCACAAGTACTTCTATCATTTAAGCGGGTAGAACACAAGTCATCAAGGCAGTTATTTGAGATTTGACTTACTAGTCATATATGTCACTTTCTCTCTTCTGCTCTCTCTGTCTGTATGTCTTTCATTCACTCTGTCTCTATGTCTCCTATTTTGCTTTTCTACCCACTGCTGTGTGGTGTAAACAGGTTGTTAAATATTTAAGGGTGCTGTCCAGCCTCATGTGTTGATGATTCAGAGTGTCTGCCTGCCTCTCACTGTTTCCTATCTGTCAGTTTAGGTAAAACTTTACTGTGTACTTCACACACAGACTCTGATGGCATCTTTCCTCTGCAGTCATTGTCTCTTTCAACTAATAAAATGCAAGCAATAAAAAAACATGATGCTTTAATCACAGTTCTTTGTTTTCACAGGTCGCTTCTTTTTAGTTAAAATGCTAAAGCTAAAACTTTTTGTGTGTGTGTGTGTCTCAGACCCCGGAGCAGTGGTGGAAACCCACAGTGCTGTTCCGTATGCAGTGATCGGGGGCATCCTGGCTCTGCTGGTCTTCACGGTCATCTGTGTGCTCATCGTCACCATCTGGTGCTCCGTCCGACAGAAAGGTGACCTCCTCACTCGACAAACCCTTAACCTGTGGTGACACACAGACATGCTGCACCTCAACTTCTGAGGAGAGGGAGTAAGTAAGATAAAGGCTGGTTCACACTGCACCAACATCAACCAGGTTCAGTCACTCATCCAGTTTGATTTTGGGTTCTGAGTTTGGTGAGTTTGAGTTTGGTGTTTGCTGGTGCAGTGAGATCCAACATTAGCAAGAACTAGAAAAAGAACACTGGTGATTTAAGGTTGGGCTGTATAATATACTGGGTGATGGTAGAAATGTCACTCTCTTGAGATTGTTCTGTACTGTTTATACTGCAGTGGATTCTTATCAGTGAGCAGAACTGCTCTGTTTTTTTCATGTGACAACCATGAAGAAACATTGAGTAATGTGAAAATATAGAGCGAGATGTGAGGATAAACGTATCACAGGGTGTTTGTTATAGGCAAGAAATGCAAAGCAGAGTTTACAGTGTTTACAGTTTCCAAGCCACTTATTAAAGTGTGTTTCAACAGATATATCTACTATTTGACATTAATCCAAGCAGAATATTCGTTTCAGAGTATTTTGAATATTAGTTATAAACACTACCATTCAAACATTTTTTATTTATTTTTCTTTATAATTACATTTACATTTAGACATTTAGCAGACGCTTTTATCCAAAGCGACTTACAAATAAGGAAAATGGAAGCAATCAAAATCAACAAAAGAGCAATGATATGTAAGTGCTATAACAAGTCTCAGTTAGCTTAAAGCAGTACACGTAGCAAGTTTTTTTTTAAAATCATATAATAAATAAAAAGAAAATAGATAGAATAGAGCAAGCTAGTGTTAGAGGCCTTTTTTTGCTATTGTTAATCAGAAGAAATCAGAAGTCAGAAAGTCAGAATTATAATTGTATAATAAATAAAAAGAAAACAAATAGATAGAATGCAAAAAGATTAGAGAAGCAAGTGTTAGTTTTTTTTTTTAATTAAACAAGCAGTTAGTAAATAAATCGTTTTTTTATTTTTATATAATTTAAAAGTCAGAGAAAGTGATTTTGTGCCTCTTTGGGATGGCACAATAAAGTGCCATTCACCTGCAGAACGCAAGCTTCTAGAATGAATTAAGGTAAAGGGGTGCAGAGCCAGTGGTGGTTTTGTAGGCAAACATTATTGCCTTGAATTTTATGCGAGCAGCTATTGGTAGCCAGTGCAAACTGATAAACAGAGGTGTGACATGCATTCTTTTCGGCTTGTTAAAAAATTAATCTTGCTGCCGCGTTCTGGATTAATTGTAAAGGTTTGATAGAA